TACTACTGCTTAAGCTACTACCAGTAGTACTGCAACCACTACCACTAACACTTCTTCTGCTACTATTTCTTCTACTAATATTATTATTACTGCTGCTAATTCTACCATTGCTATTGCTTCTACTACAACTGCTGCAACTACTACCACTGCTACTTATAATACTACTTCTGATAGAAGCGAACAGGCGAGGTCCAGGTGGCAGTTCAGAAGACGAAGATGCGATCACTGGAACAAGAAATTTATTGGCCTAACGTTTCGGATTCTCACTCGAATCGATCATCAGAGACATTCGCAGATAAAGGTGATGGTGACACAGGACACGTCCAAATCATCCAGCTCCCGAAGTTCTGTCTCAAGACGTACTTTACGTTCGACGGAACAATATACGTACAGGTGAGGGGAACGCCAGTGGGTTCGCCGATTTGGGGACCATTTGGTAGTAGAAATGGTGGTGGTAATTTTAGTAGAACAGGAATTGATGTTAATAGTAGTTGCAGTATTAGAAGTGGTAGTTTTATTAATAGTATTAGTAGTCGTAGTAGTAGAAATATTGGTGGGGTTTGTAGTAATAGTATGAGTATTATTATTATTGTTAGTACTCGTAGTAGTAGCTGTAGTAGTAGTAGTAGTAGTAGTAGTAGTAGTAGTAGTAGTAGTAGTAGTAGTAGTAGTAGTAGTAGTAGTAGTAGTTGTTGTTGTTGTTGTTGTTGTTGTTGTTGTTGTTGTTGTTGTTGTTGTTGTTGTTGTTGTTGTTGTTGTTGTAGTAAAAGTAGAATTATTAACTACAGTAGCAGTGGTAGCAGTGGTAGCAGTAGCTCGCGCAGCCGCTGTTGCATAAGACGGCGACTACAGTGGAAATCATCTCTGTTATCGTCGGCGGGATGGTCGACGTAGGCTTTGTGCAGGCGTTTCTTCTGGGCGTGCATGTTGTTGATGGAGGCGTCGTTGTCGTCGAACCAGTCCGGGTGTTGTCGGCGTGCGCGACCGAGGACGCCTAGCGCTGTCGACTGGACTGTGTCTCGCAGTTGACACCATCGGCTCTCCACGGAGGCGTTCTCGTCAGCGACGACGTTGGCTTTAACGAATGGGAGATTTTCTAGCCTTTGGGCTAACTTGTCGCTGAGATGAAGATGGCGAGCAGACAAAGACAACAAGTCAGTATTCAGATTACCTGGGGGTCACTTACCTTGAGGCCTCCTGCGAGGGTGCAGACGAATTCGCATCTCAGAGATGACTAGGCGATGGTCGGTCCACCCGTCAGCACCCGGGATCGCTTTTGTCACCAGCACGTCCCGCTGATCTCGCCTCCGGACGAGGACATAGTACAGCAGGTGCCAATGTTGCGACCGAGGATGCCTCCAGGTGACCTTGTCTCGCATCTGAAGGCGGATGTAGGTGTTTGTCAGGATGAGCCGATGTTCTGAGCAGGTTCGCAGAATAAGTAGTCCATTGTCGTTGAAGCCATTGAGATCAGGTGGACGCAACACTCCTCTCCAGGCTGCATGGTCTGTGTCGACGCGGGCGTTGAAGTCACCAAGGACAATCAACTTATCCGCCTTCAGCACAAACACCAGGAGGGCGTGCAGGTCCTCGTAGAATTTGTTCCTGGCCTCGTCAAGGCTGGTCATCGACGGGGCACAGACGCTGAAGATGTTGGTGAATTTACATCCCTGGAGATGCAGGCGGGGACTCATCAGTCGATTGTTGATGCCCTGCAGCAGACAGGGCAGTCTTCCGACGATGTCGTTCCGGACAGCAAATGCAACGCCTACGTCCCGTCGTTCTGCTGTGACAGGACCGCTCCAGAAGAGTAGTGTTTCTTGTTTGGCTTTTTCGACTTTGATTTCGGCGTCCGAGGCCAGGGTCAGTCTGCAGACGGCGTGGGTCTCCAGCATTTGTCTAGGGTACCTTTTCTAGCCCCTTCCTCCACTCGAATGTGAGCAGTGCTCTTCCCAAATAGGGCTGACCAATTGTCCCAGACGGTTGCCGAACTCCACTATGAGCCACGACTTTTGTTTAGTGGGAAAGCGACCCGAGTTAGCTTGGGCCTGCCTATTACATCGTCGTAGGGCGTTCAGGGAGGAAAGTTGGAAATGTAGAGAGACGAGAAGCGGAGCTTTTTCATCCCTCTCTAAGCGAACTGGCTGCTGAAATATATAAACGTTGGAGAAACAAATTCAACAGAACGGCATTTAGCTTACAGTAAGGACGGACACGAACAAGCAGACAGAGATCAAGCAAACAACAACAAGCGAAAGCAAAGACAACAGGACAATGTTCGCTTACCTGGGGACTCACTTAACTTGTGGCCTCCTACAGTGTTCCAGACGGAGCCTCATCTCGGAGATGCCAATACGATGATCCATCAGACCAGTGGAGCCGAGATTACTGTGTACGGAGATACACACATGGATACCATCACTTGGTTTAGCCCTCAGGTCGAGGCGGTTACTTAGTTGTAGCCGCTAGGCAGTGCCTAGCTTTGGGGAGTCATATGCGAGAGTTGGGTGCCAGTTAACGGACGCTAGACGTAGTCTACACATGCAAGCAAGCGAGTGACCTACTACGACCGTCACGTGGACCCACAGCTGAACACCCCTTCAGCCCCTGTCTGACTCTTAAAATGCACAGAACTACTTACAATCTCTTCCTTAGAGAGGCCTTACACCACATAAGATGTGACCTATACTATCATGCATTCTCTTATTCATGGCATTTGGAATGACTTCTACGTCATTTATGCTTATTTAAAAGCAATACAACGTGTGCTTTGCCGTAGTTCTGGGAATTTATTCCTACATTGAATCTTCTACAGACGATGGGTCCAGCGAAGTTGACGAAATAGACACTTTGATACTGCACAACTCTTTGTTGCCAGTGGGCAAAACAGATATATGAATTTTGTATGATTAACCATGCCGGCAGCAAAGGTACTAGCTTAAAGCCCAGACACGTGTTTCGCCGATATTTGGCTGCTTTATGACACAGCTGCGAGTGGCTCGGCTCATCAGTGGGCCCAGCGTTCCCCGTCTGCTTTCTGGTAAATACTCCGGTTTTTAAATTTTGGCTTTCAATTTTCTCAGAAAGTAATCGCTACCTTGGAGCAAATCAGTCGTAATGAGGCTTTATAGGCTCACTTCAAAAGTTGACCTCCGACCGCCTTAGCATGTGCTGAGACTTTGCCTAGGCAAAGCCATTAACCACGCGGGGTGGGCGCGGGCGACTAACAGTTCCAGTGACAGCGAACCAAATGTCCGAGTAATCAACACGCCAGTAATCAACAACAGTGATGAAATCACGGGAACTAACCACCCAAGCGCAGGCTAACGAGTCGTCACCGTGTAAACAACGACTTTGAGCGAAGAACGCGGACATGGTAAAAATGTGGCGGCATGACAGCAGCATCCTGTAAATACGGCGGCTTTGTGCCTTCATTACCCTTAACTGCGACTGCCTCTGATGATCGGTTCGAGTGAGAATCTGAAGCGTCAGGTTAATTGACTTCTTTTTCCAGCGACGACACCTTCTTCTGAACTGCTCCCCGGAATTCGCCTATTCGCCTCTATCTGTAGTTAGAAGTAAGGCTGTTTGAGCACATGCGTAAATGGCTCGTCAGGTAGATAAACATACAGGGAGGCAGTATGCGACCCCACTCAGGGAACAGAAACCAGGTCTCTGTGCAATACGGTTTTTTTGGTGGGGCTAAATGGCGAAAAGGATAGAGCGATAATAAGTAAACATTCGGATAAATGTTGAGGTGGCATATTGCTTTCTCACGCCAAATTTCTCTACAGCTACTCGCAAAAGAGCACCCGCGCCAGAACCCCATCCCCGAGGAATGATGAGGGCATCGATATATCTGACAGTGCATACAAAAGTTGAGCATTATTCGCAGTTCGTCCACTTTGCTTTTACCAAACAAGCAGATTACATTGCATCTGGTTAAGAGATCGCGGAAGCGTCAGTTAAAAAAAGACGAGAACACGATATGCCATGATGATCTGATTCTTATTCTCTTAGTACGGTTGCATACTGCGTGCTTGTAGAAATATGAACTCTCTCGTTTCCAGACTACCGAAATCCGGTGGGCCACACGCTAAACTGACACTGGAGTTCATTTAGGCAGCCCATGTGCAGGGATGAAACCGAAACTGTTACCTCTATCTGCCTTTTTATAGTTATCCAGTCCAAAATATTTCCGCTGAACAAAGTCATGGAGTTGACGATATTTTTATGCTGTGTATTATTTTGTTACTAAAGTAAAATGCTTCCAACGTGCTCGACATTGATTAATTAAATACTGTTCTAAAGGTTCTTGACAGAGCTTTCCTTGTATCAGCGTTGTCATTAGTCTTTAATGAGTGTTTAAAAGCATTTAAGGTGACTGTTTGTGTATTCTTATCCTAAAGACCAGAAGCAATTAGCCTGAACCCCAACGTAGCAGCGCGCAGAGTTAGGTGGTGTGTGACTCGCGAGTTTGTGTTGCCTTACGGTGCTGGTGGTTTATCGATCGGTGAGCGTGTCCTATTCTCTCTGCGCTTAGCGGACAAACAGTGCCAACCAATCAACTTGCTGTTTATAAGTTACGTAAAGGTTCTTTCGCTCACATGTTATGGCTGCATGCAAAATCCATTGTCGGCTTGTGTACTAGATACTTGTACGTGATTTGCGTCGTCTAAACT